TGATACAAGGGTGGTACAATGGTGGTACAAGGGTGATACAAGGGTGGTACAAAGGTGATACAAGGGTGGTAGAAGGGTGATACAAGGGTGGTACAAGGGTGATACAAGGGTGGTACAAGTGTGGTACAAGGGTGGTACAAAGGTGATACAAGGGTGGTAGAAGGGTGATACAAGGGTGGTACAAGGGTGATACAAGGGTGGTACAAGTGTGGTACAAGGGTGATACTGATGGTTTAGTTGATACTAGTATGTGTGGCAATGATCAAATACGTGCACTGACTTGGTTGATTCTTATGCCATGGCCGTCCCCCCCCCCCACCACCCTACCCCCCACCCTCCCCCCTCTTACACCTAGCATGATTGTGTTATCACCAACAGACAGGAAACGTGCCCGTAAAATTTCCCTCCAGCTTTCAGTGTAATTGAATTAGAAAAAAAAACAAATCGAGTCAGATATATACCAGTGGCTGTCGGTACTGTCTGTATGCTCTTTGTTTTACTACCGTGTGTGACGTCAAATAGTTGCTGTCTTTGTTTTACTTGCTGTCTTTCTTGCACTTGTAAGTGACGTTAAATACTTGTTTTCTTAGTTTTACGTACATGTTTTCTTTTCTTTGTTTTACTTGAATGTGACATCAAATAGTTGCTGTCTTTTTTTTTTACTTCTATGTGACGTCAGACACTTGTGGTCTTTGACGTGGATGTGACGTGCTGTCTCTGTTTTATTTCTATGTGACGTCAAGCACTTGCGGTCTTTGTTTGACGACATTTGACGTGGATGTGACCTTTTTCAACCTACAACATCGACCATCTCCGTCAGCGGTGTAAACTTTCAAGGCTGCTGAAATAATGGCTTTTTATTGAAGGCCATTTAGATATTTTGTTACGCGCATGCATTTTTTTTTCTTTAAAAAAACAACAAACAAACGTTTTTACATTCTAAGTCCATTGTATCAATTGCCCATTGTATTTGGGTTGCAAAAAATCCTTGGCTTATTTCCATTGTGGCTAAAACTGCTCAAGCCGTTTCTCAACATCGGATAACTTCCTAAAGATCTTTGACATTAATGCACTGAAACGTTAAAATACGGAGGGAATTAAAAAATCTCTGACAGCCATAGAACAGCGATAATCCTGCCCACCCTACTCCTCCACTAAATCTCTGAATTGAGCTCTTCACTGGATTAGATGATTTCATTCCGTCGTTATTATCCTCTGTATTCCATGGTTAGAGTTTATTTTAGCTACCTCTTTTTCTGTCCCATTGGGTCCTTGTTTTTATTTAATACTAGACTACCCGTTATCTAGTTAGATAACTGTGGGTTTTGGGGGTCATCCATAAATGACATCACGTCTGTCAGCACTTATCATCCCAAAATAACCAGACCCCACATTCAAAAAGACGTTTTTTATATTTTAAAAACTCTACTAAACTCTACTTCATCTGCCCAGTGTCCCGCCAAGTCTCAGACATGTTTGAATTTAAAAAAAAAAACCCATTCCGGCCGAGCATCGCTCTGACCACAGTATCCCTTCATATGCTGAGAACATAGAAACAGGTGAACTCTACTTCACCTGCCCTGTGTCCCGCGAGGTCCTGATAGTCAACCTTATCATTAACATGTAGGCCTTAAGAAAAAATAATTGAAAACATTGTTGTAAAATGAAAATAAATCTTTTTACTATAACTAAATTCATTGTTTTAAACTTTTATAGATAATGTGGTTAATCTACCAATGAATATATCAATAAATTAATTAACGGCTTTAAATTAGTTTGTAATTAACAGTGTGTTTAAGAAGGAACAATATTTACCACCCAAAATCCTATTTTACAGCTCTACATATAATGCAGATTCTCCCAAATAACAAATCAGAAAAACAAACAAACAAAAAAATGAGTTATCAAACGTCACTTTTCAGTCAAAGTTAAGCCATTGCTCTAAAACTTTTTTTAAAAAGTGGTTAATCTACCTATGAATAAATCAATAAATTAATTAACGTCTTTAAATAAATGTGTGATTAACAGTCTGTCTGCAATCAAAAATTGTTCTCTACCTACATACTATTTTACAGCCCCCCATATAGTGGAGTTTCCTCACATTACCAAATCAGACAAACAAATAAATATTCAAACATGTAAACAAACTTGAGTTTTAGTAGTATATAGATTACACCTAAAAATAAACATAGTTCGTAGTGGATATGTTTTTAATACCCCGACTCAAAGAACGTCACATGATCAGAAGAGAGTCACGCCCCAACACTATACCTGATATAATCTCTCATGTATGATCCATCAATCTCCAATCCTACCCTTCATTGCCTACCATGTATGATCCACTATTCTCCAATCCTACCCTTCATAGCCTACCATGTAAGATCCAAAGCTGTCCAATCCTACCTTTAACTGTCTATCATAAATGAAACACACAGGAATAGGCCACTTAAAGTGATAATCCTTTTCAAGCAATGAATTATTCATGAAAAAAAATGATGCGAATGGAGTCCCTGACAAAGAAGGTGAAACTTTAAGCGTGACAACAGAGGGGGCTGTGTAGATCTTGATTTTTTTTTTTACATGAAGGTTATTTCTTTAATCACGTTCCGATGTCTTAATGACAGCTAATTGCGCAGTGGTATAATTAAAATAAAGAATACAATTTGATTTTTAATTTGAAGTTTATTTCATGTGGCTAAAAATTTAATTTTTTTTAAACAAATCTTATCACTACCTTCGTGACCTAGACCCCACCCCACCTTGATATAGACATTTATTGGTAGCCCCCACCCACACATAACACCCTCTTCCACTAACACCCCCATCCCCCCCCCCCAACCCCCTTGAACTAAAACATCTTCCGTTAACTCTCGCCTGTATTGCACGAGTGTGTGTTTGTGTGTGTGTAATGAAATGTTCGGGAAGAGAGACCAAACCCATTCTTGTAGAAACTGTGAAGGGTTTTAACACTGGCACTCTTAGTGTGGTTATTGATTTTGTTTTGTTTTACCAGCGGGGTGGGGGTGTTGTGGGGGTGGGGGTTGGCTAGAGGAGGTCAGTGGGTAATTAGTAGAGGAGTAGGAGTGAAAAAAGGTTGTTTGGTGGGAGATAGATGTAATGTCTACACGGGCTCGTGGTACGTATTGAACCATTGTACTCGTTGTATTGTAGGTATAGATCCATTTGTCCTTGTCAGTGGCGTAGGCAGAGGGGGGTTAGGGGGGGGGGGGTCATAACCCCCCATAGACCCCTCGGTATATATATAAAAAGTATGAGGGGGGGATGCAAATCGAAAGTTTGAGGGGGGGGGGTGCAAATCGAAAGTTTGAGGGGGGGGGGAAGTGCAAATCGAAAGTTTGTCCCCGGGTAAAAATTGGACCCCTCCCCCCCCCCCCCCCCTTGAGACGATCCTGGCTACGCCACTGGTCCTTGTATTCATGTGTAATGATCCATTGAACTTGTTATGTAATCGTATGTAGTGATTCATTGTACGTGTGATGTAAGTGCATTTAATGATCAACTGTGCTGGCGGTGTAATTGTATGTCCCATGCTTGATTCAGTTAAAAGTGAAACAATATTTATTTCCGGGCAAACGGGCTTCGGCCATTGGTCCGTTTTGGGCAAATGGCCTTTTGGGCAAATTGCCTTTTGGGCAAATGCCCTTTTGGGGAAATGTCCTTTTGGTATAACTTCCATTGGGCAAACGTCCTATTGGGAAAATGTCCTTTTGTAAAACAGCGGTTGGGCAAGTGTTAATCGAGCAATTGTCGTAGATTTCAATATTTCACTTATAAATTGTCCGCATGATTTCATAGTCCAGGATCCATTGTTCAAATGGTTTTATAGTATTAACTCATGTATTGTTCATTTGTTCATACGATGTTATATTACGTATGAATCAATTGTCCACTTGGTTTTTATAGTTAAATAGTGATCCATTGTCAACACAATTTCATGGTGCGTATAGATCTTTTGTCCACAATGTATTAAAGTACATAGTGATCCATTGTCAACACGATTTTATAGTGCGTGTAGATCTATTCTTCACATGATTTCACAGTACATATGGGTCAGTGGTCCATCTGATCAGCGAGCTTGTTGTATGTTGAAATACCTCACTCTCCCTTATGTGTAATGTCACGTTGACCTCTAGCCGGAAGTTAATGGCACTGACACCTCGGCTTGTTAAAAAATTTAGTTGACGCTTGGCTTTTTGGGGCGGGCTTTTAACAGGTGTTGGAGCCAAATGCCGGCTTGGTGGAGCTCTTTTCTGATGGTAACATCTAGAAAACATCTACACACCAGAACATCAGTACATCAGAACGTCACCAGAACATCAGAAAACATCTGCACATCAGAACATAGGCATACTGAAACATCAAATTCTTATTTTTAAAACCCGATTTCTTCTTAGAAGATAATATTTCATGCGGTTTTTTTTAAAAAGACATTTGTGTTTTCTTGACAGTTCATTCATTATGCATTCTAATTTCACAAACCTATTATATATATATATATATATATATATATATATATATATATATATATATATATATATACATATATAAAATTATATGGCCACGAATTGTTTTACTGTTACACTTGGTTCATTTTGAACAGAATGTTGTATAAATCTAAAACAAGATTGCAAAATTATGTTTTTCCGTATCAGTGAGATGCAAAACGTCGAGATTTGCAAAAATCTCGATTTTTTTTTTTTGCACGATTACAAGACTTTCTCTATACTTCGTATATACGAGAAAGTAAAAATGCGACAAATGGCCAGTATTTAGTATAGATGAAACCACCATTGTGGTGTGTACATTTTATGGGTTTTCTGTCCTATGTAATACTGCAACAATTACACAACCGCGTCAAATGTTGATATTTGACTTTCAATGATGATAATTTATTTTTTAAGTTGGTATTTTACTTTCAATGTTGCTATTTGACTTTACATGTTGGCATTTGGCTTTAAATATTGCTTTTTTACTTTCAGATCATGAGTATAGCTTTGGCTGACATTGGGTTTGTCATCATGGTGGATTCTTTCACTGTTTATCACGAGCTACAGAAGTGGGAGCTTGGTGCTGATTTTTGTAAAGTGAGTTCAGTTTTATTATTTGTTTTCCTACTCCCCTTTTAAAAAAAATTATAATAATAAACGTAAGGATTTCTCTTTAGACCTAGCCATCTATTGGAAGATGAAATAGATGTAATATGTTCCTTGACATCGTAGGGATAGTGTGGTCAGCACTATGCCCAGTCGTATACAGTGACAAGACTGAACCGGGATCCGAACTGAGGCACTTCCGGGTAACAAGTCAAACTCTACCATTCGCCACTTCCGTTTCACGTCTTTTCTAAAATATCGTTCACAAATTCTTTTTTTTTTATAGTTTAAAACAGGGGTCTCCAAACTTTTCAGTCCGAGGGCCGCATTACCCAACAAATTTCAGTTCGAGGCCAGTTTCTTCCAGGCATGTCTTTGATTTCTCTGGGCAAAGTTCCTCAGCCATCACCAACAGACGATTTTTCCTTGGAAAAAAGATCTCCGCGGGCCGGATGAGAGGACTTCGCGGGCCGCATCCGGCCCGCGGGCCGTAGTTTGGAGACCCCTGGTTTAAAAAAAGTATTTTATTAAAGTAAATAAGCGTTTTTCAGCCGTTAGCCAAATGAAGTAGAGTGTATCTGTTTCAGTGACCTCTGCATATAAAAGTATAATGTGGCCAGTTCTATTCCCAAACCGCTTTGATTATCCTTAAAGTGAGTCAAGTACTATCAGAGTGGGGTCGGGTCAGGCACCTGCCAGTGACTCAAGTTTGGCATACGAAAGCCAGACTTCCGGTCTAGCAGTCCCGTGCTGTAACGTCCGATGACGCGATCATCTCTTTTAATGATTGGTTTAAAAAATATTTTTTTGTTTTTTGTTTTAGTTGTAGCTTCCCCCCCCCCCCCCATCAACCCCCACCACCAGAGGCAAACTTTCCATTTGCACCCCCCCCCCCCTCAAACTTTCAATTTGCACCTCTCCCCCCCCCCCCATATATTTTTTATGTTTATAATGCAAAACTGCATCTAAAATGAGATTTTAATTTGTTTTTCCAACTCATTTTGGCGCCCCCTTAGGTCGGCGCCAGGGGATATATGTACCCCCTCCCTCCTAACGCCCCTGCCACACCCTCACTTCCCCGAAAAAATAGCGCAAAAAAAAGTAGACCACATAACGTAAATATTTTTCTCTATAGAGAATTTTGATGGTTCAATGTAATATTTTACTGAACTCTCCCCCCCCCCCCCCAAAGTAATTGTACGTTTCAACTCCAGACGCTGTTCTCATGTAGCGGTCCCAGTACTCATCTCTCAGCACGTGACTCGATGGCCCAGAAAGCGCTGACCACCACTGCACTCATCACCCCCCCCCCACTTGACCAACCCACTCTTTAACAATTCTAAAGCCCGAGTGACCGACATCCGCCCTACATCACTGTCCTAGTTAGTGATAGGTCAAGGCTATAAAGTTTAGATTCCTTAAGTGATTAGGTCTGGGGGAGGGGGGGGGGGGGCATCGGAGTTATTTAGATAAATCTACATAGTAAAGAGAGTGGATCTGCAGCTTAAATTAACTTGAAAGCATTCTTGTTTTAGCGATCCTGTCTTTTATCCTACGTTAAGTTTTTTATGAAACGTTTTTTAAAAATAAATATTTTATGGAAATATTTTTGGACTTGAAAAGGTGTTTATGGTTGGAAGACTAAGCCGAAAAGCACACTGATTATAAATTAGTTTCAGGGGAGTTATAAACTGTGAGTTATGTCTTTGATACTAGGCTTTAAAGTCGGTGAGTTCATTCGGTGGAACTACATTAGCTAAACGCACAAGTCAATAACTACATTAGCTACACACATGTGTAGTTACATCATCTACACTCACACTAGTGAACAACAACATCAACTACACGTACACAAGTCAACAGCTACATCAACTACACGCACACAAGTCAACAACTACATCATCTACACACACACAAGTCAATAACTACATCATCTACACGTACACAAGTCAACAACTACATCATCTACACTCACACAAGTCAACAACTACATCATCTACACTCACACAAGTCAACAACTACATCAGCTACATGCACAACAGTTGTTACACCAACACTCACGCAAATCAGTAGCTTTAACAGATCCACGCTGTATATAATCACATATTTTATCAACATAGCACACGACTTAAAAAAAAAAGTTTGTAATGAATCCTTTAAGTAAGTTTTGTGTTAGTAGACAAGTATTTTCAGAATTCTCTTACATCCAATGCCACTAGTCAAATGACTATTGGTTTATAAAAAGGAAAATAAGTTTCCTATATACACTATTATTTTATACAAATTGCAAACCAGAATTTTAAAAAATAAAGTTGATTTGATTAAGCTTATTTAACTTGAAAATTAGGACAAAATAAATCGTGATGACCCAGATATATAAAGGGAAATAAACAGAACAAGTTAAAACTTCTACAAAATATTTTTAAACACCCGATTTCCTCCATCGTTGTAAAATTAACCATGTACGCGTAGAGCTTATAATTTGTTGTTTTTAGCTTTCAGACTTAATTATCCAACGTGTAATACATTTCCATTTTTTTAAAAGACAAAATTTAAAGATCCATTTGAAATATTTCCCCTGTTAGTTTTCTATTTCCTCCAATTTCCTTTCGTACAACCTTCACACTCGTGAACTCTATGTACTGGAAGAGTTGTCGTTTTGACTCATTTGTCTCCCTTGATTTCAGTTGAAAGGATTACGCTGTGGCATTTTATGAATAATTCATAATGAATATGTAAATGAACCGCTTTGAGTTAGGTTTCGTAATTGAGACTTTAAACAAATATTATGTGTAAACCTGTTAAGAAAAGTATTTTCCTATGAATTATAGTCAAGCTGCGCGAAATATATTATGTATGAGCAACATTTATTCTGGTAAAAGCGTATGAATTCTTTCTAAGTTAAAAAATGAAGTCGTAGGGATAGGCAAATTGCAATGAAGTGTCTAAAGTATGACAGAAAGTGTATTTTACTAAGTCTGAGTGCCGTTAAATATATTAAGTTGTACAGACAGCCAAATTGCAATGAAGTGTACCTAGTATGACAGACAGTGTATTTTACTAAGTCAGAGTGCCGTTAAATATATTAAGTTGTACAGACAGAGCCGCAACGAAATCTATTTAACAGGACAGACAGTTTAACTGTTGAAGTCAGTCGGTTGAGAAGGGAGCTAAATCCTTTCACGTCCGCTTCGATTAACTGATTATCTGTTAAAGATAAGCAGAGATGACAAAATGGCGGCTGTTGGCAACCTGACACGTGATGTCTACCCAATAACGTGCTGCTGCTAGTTTTTCTTTAAAATGTTTCAAATTTCGTTTAGCCAACCACAGTTGGATATTTTTTTAGTTGAGTAATAATTTACAATTGCAATATTTTTCCCCACTCACATTTTACCTCCACACGATCTAGACCTTCAATGACTTTAAATTGTCATTACATAGACGTACAATGATCCTCCCCCCCCCCCCCTCCACAGATTTGACCCACAATAAGATTTTCTATCCCAACAACGATGACCTACTTCCAAACACTCTTGACCTACTTCCCAACAATGTTGACCTACTTAGCCTTTTTCTCCCCACACAATGTTAATTACCTCTCTCTCCCCACAATGTTAACCTTTTCATTTTCTCCTTACACAATGTTGACCTCAACCTCCATCCCTACAATGTTGACCTTCAATAACCTCTCCCCACACAATGTTAACCTTGACCTTTTCTCCCCAAACAATGTTGACCTTCAATAACCTCTCCCCACACAATGTTAACCTTGACCTTTTCTCCCCACACAATTTTCTCCCCACAATAACCTCTCTCTCCCCACAATGTTAACATTGACCTTTTCTCTCCCCACACCGTTAACCTTGATCTTTTCTCTCCCCACAATGTTAACCTTGACCTTTTCTCGCCCCACACCGTTAACTTTGACCTTTTCTCTCCCCCACAGACGTGGATGATCCTTGACGTGGCCCTGCCCAGCGTGGCCCTACTGGCCCTGATGCTGCTCAACATCGACCGCGTCCTCTTCACCTACAAGACCGAGTGCTACCAGCACGTCATGCAGAACACGTCCGTGCACGTCCTAGCCCTTCTGGCGCCCTGGTGCATCAGCTGCGCCGTCGTCTGCACCCTGTGGCTCGGCTTCCCCGCCATGGAGCCGCTCCCCGGGCTCTGCATGTACGGCATCGTCAAGGAAGCCAACACCATCTCCAACTGCCTGACCGTGTTCCTCCCATCCGTTTTAATCCTGATTCTACTCATCTTCATCTTCATCGCCGTCATCGGTGAGATGCCGACCGCCAGCCATTTTGGCTCCATCCAGCAACAGTTCAGCCTCCCCAACAACCCGCGCACCCAAACCAACAGCAGCGACAACAGCGTCAACGGTCACTCCCGTACCGACCTCGACCGAACCAGATCCGTCGCTACGACTTCTTTAACAAGCTCAACCCACGCCAGGCGTCAAAGACGGTTCGTGGCGGCTCTCTTAGCCGTGGACTTTGTCAGCCTGTCCATCACCTTACCCTACTCAGCCTACAGTATGGTCAGCACGGACTGCCGAGACGTCCAAAGCTGCGATTCTTTAATGACTCTCTTCCAAACCCTCGCGTGGATGCGTTCTTCCGTCGCCTGTTTCAGACCGATCCTTTTCATCTTCCTCACAGACATCTACCAATCCATGAAACGAAGATTCGTTCGTTGGTACTTAGGCGAGCAGGGTCTAACCCGCGAGATCAGCAGCCTTAACAGACGCGAAGCCCAGGTGTTGTATACACCTGCACGCAACGATTACATCACCCTGACTCACGTGGGGACCAGAAGCACGTGCGGGTTCAGTTGCCGGAACGAGTCGACCACGACGACGTCCGTCATGACGCCGCCCCAGTCCCCGTACATCCAGCAGAACTCGGACTTTAAGCCCAAGAAGAACGGGATGTTGTTTAGTGCTCTGTTTAAGGACGACAATGACGGCTCGTTTGTGTGATATTCTTGTTGCACTTGTTACTTGTTGCTAGTTTGTTACTGGTTTGTTATTAGTTTGTTACTGGTTTGTTACTCCTATATCCTGGTATTTTTTTCTAATAAAAATATATTTAAACAATCTCAAATGGTGTATAGATCTATATTCTTTTGTAAAATATTTCGTAAAAAAAAAAAAAAAATTAAACGTCGGCAGGTGGCATTGAAGTAAGCTGTAGTATATCTATACACACCCTTACCCTAATTATAACCATGGCCTTAATCCTAATCCTAAACCCAACCCCAATCAAGATACGTATGAGAACTTGTTCCTTTGTGGCCCCTGGGTAGATTGGGCTTCAGCCACACCTCTCCACCGGACTCGGTTTCAAGCAGATCTCTTTATTTGCGCCCACGTAAGCCCGGCAACCCTTGCCTCATCTACTGTCCTTCTCCAGTATTTCCTTGTCCGGCCTACTTTCCTCTTTCCCCTAGATTGCAGTCCAATATTTTCCTTGCGACATTATACCATTCTCTTCCTTCTCAGGGTATGCCCAATCCATCCCCATATGCGTGCTTTACTGTCATTGACACGTATAACGATACCCAAATTATATAAGACACTGTACTATTTATTTTTCAAAAAATTCAATATTTAGTTTATCGCTTCATGTTTCTTCACCAAACTTTGAACTCTAAACCTACATTTTATTTACACTAACCTTGAATCACCATATCGATTCTTGCACGTTTTACTCTGACCTTTAAACCCCTCAAATCTTTACCCCCATTAGTCTTTATCCCTGTAATCTTCACCCTCCAATCTCGTCAACCTATCGCGAGACCAACACCAACAACCGCGTACTCACACTGGCATAGATACTCGGCTCACAGACTCAACACTAGCCGGCACGTGCCCGGCCATGTCTCGGTACCGTGTGAGTAGATTAGGTGATAGCGGCTTACCTGGCTTCCCCGACAGATGGGCACGAGATTAAGCCGGGGCCTAAGTCTGCGCATGCGTGAGACGGGGTCGGGAGCCGGGGCTTTATCGTCCCCGGGGGATCAGGTTTAAAGCTGGAGCTGGCCTTTGTATGTCGGTCACCCCCACACACAGACTGTGGGGATTAGGTCACCCCCCACACAGGCTGTGGGGAGCAGGTCACACCTACATATATGTTGTGGGGAGCAGGTCACCCCCACACACAGGTTGTAAGGAGCAGGTCACCCCCCACACACAGGTTGTAAGGAGCAGGTCACCCCCCACACACAGGTTGTGAGGAGCAGGTCACCCCACACCAAAGGCGTAGCGACCCTTCCTGGCGCCCGGGGACAAACTTTTCGATTTTCAACCCCCCCCCCCCCGTTCAAGATTTCGATTTGCACCCCCCCCCCCCTCAAACTTTCGATTTGCACCCCCCCCCTCCCTCAAGATTTCGATTTGCACCCCCCTCAACCTTTCAATTTATTTTTCCAACCCATTTTGGCGCCACCTGAGGTCGGCGCCCGATGTCCCCCCTCGCCCCCCCCCCCCCTCGCTACGATACTGCCCCACACACACACAGGCTGTGAGGAGCAGGTCACCCCCCCCCCCCCCCACACACACACAGGCTGTGAGGAGCAGGGTGCAATGCATGTTCTTTATTTTTCTATTGTTGAAAAAAAACATCGAAAACTTACGCCGTCATATAAGCTGTTTGATAAAGTTGTTTAAAAAAAATAAAAACTGACCTGTTGTGGAGTTTAACAAATATAAAAGCATCACAACTGTTGCTTGTGTCACATTTTATTCTCAGCTTAATTAAATAAACTTTTTTTTTCTATTTTAACTAAAATTTAAAGAACAATACACTTAGCCTGTCGGCAGTCAATGTTTATCTGTGTCATGGGTTATTATTAAATTACAATTACATTAAAATATCTAAATAGACGAAGTTAAAATAATTTATACACAATTTAAGTAGACCCATCTATGAATACCAAGATGTACATTTCAATAAATAAACGGCTCCAAAGTCTTAACAGACTGATAGAGCAAGTCTAATAGCCTGAGCAGCAACTTATAAAGAGCAATCTGATTGGCTAAAGGAAGAAAGCGACATAAACATTATTGGACATATAATACCTAACAATACCTTTGTTGACCTGAATGGAACTCCCTTGAACTGATTTGACCCAAGTGGCCAAAAATAGAACCAAAGTAAATAGTATGAGAAAATTTTAAAACAAAAATGTGATATTTTACTTTGTCTTTACTTCACGAGCGTTTTAATAAATAAGCAGATATTTGATATTTTTTTTCGTGAAACTTTTGGCAAGTGTTTTTAAAACAACTGTACAGCTTTCGGGATTTTAAAAATTCATGTGAGCTTTTGACTCGAGTACAATACGGTAGGTGCCAGGAATCTTTGATTGTAAGCGTGGCACAGCGTGTCTGGCATTGACTGTAATTTTCTCTCTCTCAAATATCAGACAGTTATCTAACCTGGTGGGTTTTAGAGGCTATTTTCTGTCTGTAGGAGGGCGCCACCTATGGCGTCTAAAAATAGCGTGGGTTGCTTATCTCGCGAGAACTTGTACTCGAGTTGTGAGGTTGGTTTGGCGTCAATTGATGTGGCTGCCATAGGGTTGGTGGGTTTTTTTTTTTTTTGTAAATGTGTTTTGGGTTGGGTTGTGGCGGTAATGCAATATCAATTTTTGGGTTGGCGAAGAATTACGTTACAGTAAGTAGAATGGGACGGCGTAGCCAAGTAGTGGAGTACTAGACAACTAACCCGAATGTCACGAGTTCGAATCCGGGTTTTAAATCAGTAGAATGTCCCTGAGACTACCCAGCTAAGATGGGTACCTTACACGTAATTTGTACCTTGTTAAACAGCCTCCACAAACTATAACCTCTACTTGTTTATTTCTAAAGAAGCCCTAAGTTCAACTAATAATCACTAGAATAGAAAAAAGGGGAAATATTGCAACAATTTAGAATAAACATAGAATTTCAAATGCAAATAGGGTATTTACAATTTTTCATGTTCTCATACAATTTCTTTTCATTAAACACACGTTTTCCGATACAATATCACGTAACCAACTGTATCTCTAATGAACTAACCAACAGTATCTCTTCTCTAATGAACAACCAACTGTATCTCTAATGAAGAATGTGAACTGGGATGTGGGAGGGAAATGGGAGCTAAAAACCTCAGGGTTTCAAGGGGGATTAGACCAGTTGTGTTGCTGATTAGCTTGGGTGATCTGGTTTGTGTATGTTCTGTGTTAGACGTTCTCAAGAGAACACGTGTCACATACAAACATATAGGTACACACATACACTGATACACCTCCACCCCCCCCCACTATACACTAATTTATATATATATATATATATATATATATATATATATATATATATATATATATATATATATATATATATATATTTGAAGAAATTCTTGCATTTCACTGTTGACGTTGTGATGGCTTGTTTTTTTATGACAACAATACTACCAACAACAAAATTTATTTCAACGACGTCGTGCAACATTCACCCACCCTGTCGGACATTCTCATGTCTGTCATATTTTATTTCTTAAGGTACCGTAGATGCTGCATGACATTGTTTGTCCCTGCTCACCCCTCACCAAAGTCCTCACCCCCTATTATCACATCGTCACAGGAGCTTACAGCACCCCCCTCCCCCAGGGAACCCCCACCGCTCTCAATTCTTGCTCACTAGATACGTATACCCCAGTACACCAACAACAACATCAGCGACAATAAATAACTATACGAACCTTCAAGTGGTCTGTTAAGTAAAACCCAGTCGTTAGAAAAAAAATCAACTTTCTGCTGAATCATCTTGTATACAGCCGGAAGTAGGTCATACGTAGGTCTCCGGTGACCTAGTTAGATTCGATGTATCTTATTTAACAAATGAACGGCAGCTGTTTCTGGCCCATTATTTTTTTTTTTTTTTTTTTTTTTGTTTTTTTTTGTTAACTTAATCAAGTCATTTCTTGACGTAGGTTGAAACAAAAAATGTTTGATTAAACTGAAACTCATCTTCATCGTCTTATGTCCAGGAAATATTTTATACTGCTGGCCACTCCTACGCACATAGGGTACATGACAATTTGCTTAGACCCGGCCTGGCAGGTAATGAGCTGTTTGAAGTGTTTTTTTTAAAGGGAGCGTCCAGAAATGACGTCACTTGATTAATTAAAGGAAATGGGGGATCATGTTTTTAACTTTTTTAAGATAAAGAACGATAGGTGGGGATATTGTGCGAGTGAGGGTGAGTGGGGAAATATGCCGTCTTGACAAAATTGTATTTCCATGGGGAAACTTTATATTAGTTGTATGTGTTCAGTTTAAACTACACATATAGCCATACGAGTATCTATGAATTGTATGTGTTCAGTTTAAAGTAGACACATATCGATAGGGGTATGTATTTATTGTATGTGTTCAGTTTAAAGTAGACATACAGCCATACTTTTGCTCACTGCTTCATAGCTTTGGCTGAGCTTCTAAATCTAATGTAGTGCAATCTTTAGAGCACAGGTTCCCAACCTGGGGGTCGCGACCCCCCTGGGGGTCGCGAAGGGCTTTCTGGGGGGTCGCCAACTGGTATACTAAACCTTAGTAATTTGAAACAAAACATAAATATTTAGAATAATTTTTTGAAATTCGGCTTTACCAACATCACTGGAAAGGGAACAGAGAAGAAGCAAAGCGTACTGTACAAAGTCATTCGAAACACACCAAAAAATATATGGAGTTCTTTCGTCGGTATGAAGCTAGTTGCAAACGTCAGAGTCTTGATCGAACAGGAAGTTTTCACCAAGGAAACACAGCATTAGTGCTAGCATCACATGAAGTCGCGACAGAAAATGCCAAGCAAAAAAATAAACACAATAGGAGAAAATCTCATCAAACGCTGCATGTTGATGGTGGTGAAGTTAATTCTTACATGTCCGTAGATGTTAAATAACACATTTTTATTGAAATTAAGCTTTCACCATTAGTTGCTTTTCAAGTTGATAAATCAACAGACGTGAGTTCGTGTTCGCAGTTGCTAGTCTTTGTCTATATTCATTCAGATGAT